TTCCCACTTGAAGTCTTTCACTGTGAAGCAGCAGCAGTAACTTCAGTGCTGGTGTCTGCATTACTCCAGCGTGAGAGGGGATGTTTGTGTTGTCTAATGTAAGACACGGCCCAGGTGCATCACGGGAAACGTAGGATGCAACAAAAGTCCGGATGTGTCCACCTCATCATCAGCTGTCTGGAGGTTTGATCAGTTTAATGTTTTTGTTACCGACCTCTGAGGATTATATGAATTTGGTCACTGTTTATCTTTCTACAGCTGCTGGTCCTGGATCAGTACATACCCCTGCAGGTTTACCTCCTGTGGTCCTGAAACTCCTTCAGAACCAAACAAAACCTTTAAACTGGCTCCAGCACATGTCAATCACCCACCTGCCCCTCCCACCTCCAGAGCAGCTGTCCAATCACAGCCCTGCAGCGACTCCTCACCCACCAATAAACTTTCAGAGCCTCCCAGCCAATCACACGTCAGCCTTCTGTCTTTTTAACCCTTTAAGTTGTAAAATACAGAAAACGTAGCAAAACGTTTTTGTCAGCGGAAACGGTGCTGCTGTGAACGCAAGCGCAGTGAGTTTTCCTGCCTTTTTATCACCGTTGTGTTTTCAAACTTTTCACAGCTGACTGGGTGACACCTGAGACACGCCCACCCAACAGGAGAAAACACACCTGAAGCCCGTTGCAGAACGTTGAGCAACGTTGCAAAGAAACATGTCCCTCAACCCGAAAACGCTGCAAACGTTTTGAGATTGAACTCTCCCCTGATACAGCCTGTTCATGGTTAAGGGACTGGGTGTTACTACTAGCAGGGCTGCACTAATATCGTCTAATATATTCTATGTTTTATTAAAAAGTTGTTTTTTCCAGTTTATTTTTTATCTTTTCAATTAATCGTTTAAACCTATGCAGCACTTATATTACATACAATAAGAAGCTGCTCTTTTAATGTGTTGATCTTATTAGACTACATGTTTTCAAAAAAAGGAGCATTACACACAAGCTCATCAGAGCTAATGATAGTACATTTTAGCACGCCAATTTAATAATGAGATTGTCAACTTTAATTATCTAACACTTAATTTCCCAACCACAAAAATGTGGCTGGTGAAAATGCTGCGCGGCTGGTAACTTTAGAAAACCGAGCAAAAAAGTTCAAGTCAAGCCCTGGTTAGTACTGATGAAGAAGGAAGAGAAAAGCTCCACAAGCTCAGTTTGAACATCTTTCTTTATACAGCAGCGCCACCTGCTGTCCACAACAACACATTACAGCCACAATAACTGTACTGTCATTTAGACTAATAATAAAACTAATATAATATCATATTAACTGATAGTAACAAATAATCCATAGTTGCTAAGTCATCAATACACAAAAAACACTGAGAGGACAAAGAGGCACATGAGTTCCTAAAATATTCATGAGTCACAAAACAAAACATGTGAAGTGTGTTTCTGTTGGTAAATGTAAAAATGAGCACTGTGATAATCACCTCTTTGTCACTTCTGTGACTTAATGGACACCAACATCGTGCAACATCCTTGGTCGCTATGACTACAGCCTCAGAAATAACCATAAAGTTGAACCAACACAAACTGAACATTATAACCTTCATGAAGGAGGATCTCTTACAGGAAATGTGGAAGTAAATTAGCCAGTCTTCCTTCTGATGGTTTTGTTTGCTTATGTAGGTCATATAGAGGCATTCACATTAAATTTAAACTGCTTCATAACCAGGTTAAACGTTCCTTATAGTTGCCACCAGAGTTTGACTTCAAAATACACCAAATTACACTTTTTCTGGCTCTGAAACATCTTTTGCATTTTGTCCAACAGAACTATCAGTGCTGTGATCCGACAGTGCAGCAGCAGTGGAAAATATCAACGTGGAGCTCGAACTCAATGTAACATTAAGTAGTAAGTTTATTATAAAATCAATTTGGTACATGCAATGTGGTGACCACCACTCCGGGCTCGTAATGCCAGCTTCTACGTAACACTGGACTCCCAGGCAGGATATTTATCACAGCAACAGCTTGCACCAGTTAATAGGATATTAATGGAAACAGATCATATTCATTTAAAACTGAAGCATTAAGATCTGAATAAAGATCTGTTTTGTTAGCGCTCCTGGTTGTTATAACAACCGTCGTAATCGTTGTTGGAGCCACATTGGAGGCCAAGTCTGAACGACCATCGTTGGCCTCTTCACCTGAGCCAAACGTGAACGTTTGTTTAGTTTCCTGGGGCGAGATGGAAGCATTGTGAAGCATTGTAATAAGTGGTGTCGCAGGTCAACAACCGCATCAAACAGGTCCAAAAAATATGTAGAACTGAAGCTGAGGTTGTTAGTTTTATACCCTTCTCCCACATAAACTGTCCCTCCCGCTCATGTCTCTGAGCTGGAGTCCAAGTCAAGTCTCAAGGCTTTGAGCTTTTGTTAAAAACGTTCTGAAAAATATTAACTAACAGAAGAAAATGCTCTGAGAAAGGTTCATTTGCATAA